GTTGAACTGCAAATGTAATCTCAGGTCAAGTAATTGTCAAATAATGCAATCGACCAATTATCTTTCTGTAAGCTGTGGGATCCTCCATGAGAGGTCCATCATCTGCTGATAATCTGGTCTTCATGTCTATTGGTGTGGCAACAGGCTTAGAATAAGACAAAAGATCAGTACAGTATTTCTTTTGGCATATATGAAGACCCTCCCTTGATCGAGCCATCTCTAAATCAAGGAAGTAATGGAGATGGCCAAGATCCCTTAACTTAAATTGACTGCTCAAATGTTGTTTCAAAGCCTGCATACTCACTAAATCATCCCCTGCAATGATTATGTCATCTACATAGACCAAGAGAACTGAATACCAGAGGATGAACGATGAGAAAACATGGAGTAATCATTTGCAGATTGGATGTACCCAAAAGATAGTAGCACTGATGTAAGCTTGGCAAACCTTTGCCTAGATGCTTGCTTGAGACCATAAAGAGACTTCCTTAACTTGCATACATAACCTGGTTTGTTGATTCCAGGAGGCAGTTCCATGTATACATCCTCCTCAAGGTCCCCATTCAGAAAAGCATTGCTAACATCTAACTGTATCATCTGCCAATTCTTAGCTGCTGCAACAGCCAAAAGGGTCTTTACTGAGTTTAACTTGGCAACTGGTGAGTAGGTATCTAGGAAATCAATTCCATAGATTTGTGTAAACCCGTTAGCCACCAGTCTGGCTTTGTGTCTTTCAATTTCTCCATCAGACAAAAACTTAATGGCATACACCCATCTATTCCCTATGACTCTCTTGTTAAGAGGTCTGGGGACAATGTCCCAGGTTCTGTTGGCTTCCTGAGCTTCTATTTCCACATCCATAGCCTTCTTCCATGCCTCAATCTGAACTGCTTCTTCAAAGCTTGCAGGAATATGTGTAGATTCCAGAGCCAACACATATTTCTTATATCCTGGAGACAGTTTATCATATGACAAGCAAACAACCAAAGGATATATAGCTTTGACATGTGTGGTTCCTAGACTCAGAACATAATCATTATACTTGAGAGGTTTAACAATTTGTCTGGTTGGTTTCCTAACAGCAATAGGCAAAGAAGTATTTTGGGGAGATTGTGGAACAGAAACAGGTGAGTCTATAGGATCAGATGGGGTATGTATGGTGGTGGAGGAAGAAGTAGAGGGGGAAGAAATATTCATGTTTTGAACTGGAGAAGAGGGAATAACATGTGGAGGAGTGGAAACAACTTGTGGTTGTGTTGTCCCTAGATCCATAGATTGAGGTTGTGAAGGAAAATGATCTGGTGGTAAGTCAGAAGAATGAAGTGGGACTTGTGGTATAAATGATGGTGGTGGTGATTCACTGGTAGGGAGGGGTAAACAAGGTATGATATTCTCATGGAAGATCACATCCCTAGAGAGAAAAACTTTATGATCTTGTAGATCAAACAATTTATACCCTTTAACTGTTGGAGGGAATCCTAGGAAAACACAAGGTTTAGCTCTAGGAAGAAATTTTGTTCTGTTATGGCTTGAAGTGCTGGCATAGCATAAACAACCAAACACCTTTAAATTGGACAGATCAGGAGGGTGTCCATACAAGACTTCATAAGGTGTTTTGTTACCAACAGCCACAGTAGGTAATCTGTTTATCAAGTAGACAGCATGTAGGATAAAATCAGACCAGAATTTTAGAGGAAGGTCAGATTGGAACTTGAGGGATCTAGCTACATTCAAGATGTGTTGGTGTTTTCTCTCCACTCTAGCATTCTGCTGTGGAGTTTCAACACAAGACATCTGGTGTACAATACCCAATTTTGAATAGAATTCAGGCATATGGAACTCTGCCCCTTGGTCAGATCTAATAACTTTAATGGTTTTCTCAAACTGAGTTTGAACCATCACACAGAAATCTTGCAACAATTTTATGGCTTCACTTTTGTATTTCATAAGATATGTCTATACACATCTGGATTTGTCATCTACATTGGTAAGGAAATAAGAGAACCCATTGTAGCTAGAAACAGCTAAAGGTCCCCAAATATCAGTATGTATAAGCTCTAAAACATCCTTTGCCATAGATTGGCTTGAAGAAAAAGAAAGACGTTTCTGTTTAGAAAGAGGACAAACATCACAGTGATGAACAGAAGTGACATCTATACTAGGAACAGTTTTCTTTAACTCTTTAGCTCTGACTTCAGAGGGGTGTCCAAGCCGCCAGTGCCAAAGATCAAAAGATTGAGGTGTGAAATTTTGAGTCTTGAGGGAATTGATATGAACATGTTGGTCTTCTGTGGTAGTGGGTATGAGCTGATAAAGACCCCTACTCTCTTGGGCAAAACCGATCGTCTTCAATGTCAGAAGGTCTTGGATAGAACAAATGGTGGATTTGAAAGTGAGTGTAACTGGTAGGGAATGAGTCAGTTTACTCACTGAGATTAGGTTGAATGAAAAAGTTGGTACAAGTAGGACTTTGTGAATGACAAGATTTGGAGTTAGTCTAACTGTTCCAGAATGAGTGGCAGGTGTTTTGGTCCCATTAGGTAAAGTTATAAACACATTCTGAATGGGAAAACACCTAATGAAACTAGACTTAGAACAAGTTACATGATCTGTAGCCCCTGTATCTAAGAACGACACATTCACTAGTTCCAAAGGATGCTGCTGGAAATATGAAGTAAGAGTATATTTACCTGCAAAATTGGGATTCACTGATAGATGCCTGCTAACAGAATTGACCATTGGTGACTGATGATGTTGAGAAGCTGTCAAGTTTGGACTAGGTGAGCCAGGAGATGTGGGTGGACTTGGTGACCCAAATTGATTCAAAATTCTCTGCAGTCTACTCAAATCCTCATTCGAAAGCCTCACATTAGTAAAACCCCCATCCCTTGTCTCAGACAGTGATCTAGTTTCTGGTTTTGACTGATTTCCTCCTGCATCATTCCCAGCATTATCAATGCTTTGGATCTGTCCTGCAAAACCAGAAGTAGACCCAGACTCCTTGTTCTTTCTCTTCAGATTGAAACAGTCTGCAATAACATGGTTATCCTTTTTGTAGTATCTACAAAATAAGGTACCCTGACTGCCCTTAACATTCTCTTTTCCTCTTGATTGATTTGCAGCCAACAAAGCAACAGACTCCACTTGAGAGTCCTGACTTGGCTTGCCAAGTTGCCTCTCATGTTGAATGGCATAGTGGAAAGCAGTTTCCATGGCCGGAAGTGGAATCATCATAAGGAGATTGGTCTTGACTCCCCCATATGATTCATTCAATCCAGTAATGAACCTATTCACAAACTCATTCTCCCTATATTTCCTAACAGTGGTCTCAGTCACACAAGGAACATCCCTATTTCTAGGTTCTTCACCACACACACATTCTGAAATTGGTAAAAATTGGACTAATTCTTCCCAATGCCCCTTCAATTCAGAATAGAACTGGTTCACTGATTTGTTACCTTGCTTCAGAGTGTAGACAGCAGTCTGAAGATCACTGATGCGAATATTATCTGCCTGTCCATACCTCTGCCTCAAATCATCCCAAAGAAGCTTGGCATTGTCTTGTGAAGAAACACTGTTGACAAGGCTAGGATCCAGAGACCCAAGAATCATGAAGTAGACCGCTGTGTTACTCTGTTCCCAAGCTTGGTAGCTTTCGTGCGTCAGATCTGGAATAGGAATCGACCCTGTGATGAACCCAACCTTGTTTCTGCTTTTCAGAGCAACTCGAACAGTTCTACTCCACAAATTGTAGTTGGTTGTGCCTGTAAGTTTGATGGGAAAACTCAAGGCTTCATTTGGGTTGATGAAGAAAGGATTTGTGACTGTGCTGATAGGAATCGAAGCAACAGTCGACGTCGACGACGACATAGCTGAGGCTGCCTCCGTCGACATTGATGAGATAAACGAGAATCAAGTGGAAAATTTCTCAAGAAGAAGAATGCGGGATTGCTAAGTCTGAAACCCTAGTTTTGGTAACCAGGCTCTGATACCATGTGAAATTCAGACCCAGGATATTGTAAAGGAACCCGAAGGATCCTATGTGGCTCAAGGCCTTTCCATATATACTCAGCATCTACAACTCCTTCTTCACGAAGGGAAGAAAGTTACCCTATACAGCTATACAACGGTAACAAACAGAAAACAAAACTACCAACCAATCTAAGGAGGACACGTAGCTGTACAGTAAAAACGAAAAAATGAATAGATGCTAAGATAAACGATGTCGTCTCTACCCAGCTCCTCACTTGCTTCTGCGGGAACTACGATATCGTCTTCTTTCATTCTGCAATAGGATCTCCCTGTTTATGAGAGGCAGGGGAGATGGCGAGTAAGGCAACCGTAACGAGAAATCTGGCGAGAGAATCCACGCTCATGTAGTCGTCTAAATTCAGCGTCGTCGTCAAAATGAGCCCCCACTCTCCGAGTGCCTCCGCGATCGCGATGAAGAAGAGGTGACAGTGATGGCAGTGGGTATCAAAGGGTTTGGTAGCTTTAATATAATATATGGTGGTGTTGGAGGATGTACGCCACGTTGGAAAGCCCGTCGGGATCGGTGAACATGGACTCGCCGACATCCGTCAGGGAGTACTTCCTCGTCAGGGGCGACAACGTGCTCGTCGAACATACCGTGGGTCGGGAGGAGCTGGAGGATCTGTTGCTAACGGTGCCATGGAGGATCTGTTGTCCGAAATATTATTAAATTATTTTAGATTTGTCACCAAAAATAATTTATTTCATTTGTGGCCATTGAAATTAGTTTAATAGTTTTCACCAAAAAAAAAAATAGTTTAATAGTTCGTGATCGGTCATTGATTGTTACCTTCCATAAGTTTCTGTTAATGATATTAGTTTTTTGTTGAAATGACTAATAGAAACGCCTAGTCACCCACTTTTAATCAAAGGCCGAGAACATAAGCTTTTATCCTTTTGAGTTGTTTTGAGGTTCGATATCATCCGAGTTTGTCTAGTAGGGAAAGTGAGGTTGGATCTCTTGATCGCCATGTGGTTTGTTTGCCTGTTGTTGTTCGCCATGATATATGTTTTGGTCTTATAAATGCCATGTAATATGTTGCTAAATAGTATAGAAGAGCTTGATCTTGAAAAATGGTGATTGACTTCCTTTTCTGTAATCATACGAGACCACAGAACTCTCCACATGAGCATTGGCCATTAGCAAACCTGTGAATGCGCCAGCTATCTTTAACGATGATTTCTCTACTGCTCATACTCGAGACGATCTTAATGAAACTATGGCAGTCTCTACACATTCTCGTGTTCTTGTTGACTCTTATTGGGGCATCAGTTTGAATATTTAGCAACCCAAATGCCACAGCCAACCTCTCACTGTGGTTAGCAGCAGAAGCAGAAGAGTAATGGCCGTGCTCCATTTCTATCTCTCTTACTTCATTATTCACCTCCATAGCTGCGTGCGTCATGTAGCCATGACTCCTCGCTTTGTCCAGCAGTTCATCCAACAACCTGAATGTCCCAGCATTTCCAGGGGCCCGCTGGATGCTTGTTTTGAAGGAGTGGACTTTGTCTTTAATGCTAATCCAGCTCCAATCTTCCAATATTCCTATTTTCTCCTCTTTCATCAATTCTTTGAGTCTTGAAACATCTTCCCAACTTTTGGCGGATGCGTAATAATTCAACAGAATGGAATAAATCTGGGGATCTTTAGGCTTCAGTTTGAGCAGTTGCTGAGCAGCATGAAACCCAATTTCTTCATTTCCCTGATCCCTACATCCTGAAATCAAAACCAGCCAAATGAACTCATTTGGTGGGAAATCCATCTTCTTGACGACATTGAAAGCTTCATCTATCCTGCCCAACCTCACGTATAAATCAACCATACATCCATAATGGTCCATCAAAGGTCTGATTCGGTATTCCTTTCTCATCATCTCAAAGTATCTCAGCCCCTCGTTGACCATTCTTGCATGGCTGCATGCAGCCAGAGCACCCACAAAGGTGATCTGGTTCGGTTTAACTCCAGCTAGCCTCATGTCTTCAAAGAGTTGCAGAGCCTGATTAGACCAACCATGTTGCGCGAAGCTTGAAATCATGGCTGTCCAAGATATCAGAGTTCTAGTTGACATCTCAAGAAAGGCTTTACTTGCTCTCTCAACACTTCCACATTTGCTGTACATGTTAACTAATGCAGTTCCCACAACCACATCTGATAAGAAACCAGTTTTGATGGTGTGAGCATGAATTTGTTCCCCTTGTTCTGCTGCCAGGATTTTCCCACACACTGTGAAGATGCTCGACAAGGTGTAGAGATCAGGCTTCAACACAGAGCGGTTCAAATGAAAGTAGTTTCTCAATGCCTCGGTGCCACTCCTGTGAGCTAAAAGTTCATCCTTTGCTACATCAATGGCCTGTGCATGTCCTGCAATGACTGCATTCCATGTAACCATGCTCACAGATTCCAGTCTGTTGAAAAAATTCTGTGCTTCGTCGATCCGTCCAGATTTCAGATAGAGATACATGATTGAGTTTATTATTTGGATATTGGATTCATACCCAAGCTTGATAGCTAGTGAATGTACCTGAGCTCCTGTATCCAAAGCAATCAGCACGCTGCACAGGCTTATCACAGCAGTGAATGTGAACTCATTAGGGTTAACATCCTCCTTAAGCATCTCGATGAAAAATCTCAACCCACTTGCCGCATCGCTGCTATCTCCACAAGCAGTTATAATCGCAGTCCACGAGATGACGTTCTTCTCTTCAATCCCCTTGAAAGTTTCAACGGCAGACTTCAAGCAGCCAAATTTGGAGTAGAAAGTACATAGAGCGTTTCCAACGCTAGGGTCATGCGCAATCTTGTACTTGATTATGAACGCATGAAACTGTCTGCCAAGATCCAATAAATTCAATGCAGAACAAGCATTCAGAGCAATCCCCAGAGTATGACCTGTTGGAAGAGACCCACTTTCCAGCATCTCTCGGTAAACTTCAACAGCTGATTCTGGCCTTGAGTTCTGGACATAACCCGACATCAGGGTGGTCCAGGCGATAACATTTCTCCTAGGCAAATTGTCGAACACCTTGCGAGCACTTTTCATGTCGCCACATTTCGCGTACACGTTAACCAGCGCCGTCATTAAGAAGAACTGCTCCTGGGTTCCTGTCTTGATCATGTGGGCATGAAGGATTTCCGCTTCCGAGACCGAATTCTTATCAATGCAATGCTGGAGAAGAGGGTGATAAACCTGGGACTTAAACTTAGTGCCTCGTCTGATCAAAGACAGCGCTTCCCGGAAATCAATATATCTCTTCTGCTCCGAAGCTCCATTCAACTGGGTCGTCACGGGATTTCTGTGGAACAAATTGCTCTGGCTCGAACCGTTCTGTAAAGGAAAAGAAAAGGCCAGTTAACGACTTAAGCCTCATGTTAGCCATGAAAAGAGATTGGAACCAGTTAAAAAGCTCAAACTAGAAACTGGGAAGTAAGGAATCGAGCTTTTGCGTATGCATCCGTTTAGTTGCGCGAATTGTGAGAGAAGAAGATAAGATAAGGGATAGAAAAGAGTACCTTTTGGGCGGGAAGAGAAGCAGTAGAGGAGAGTTTCTGCAGCAGAGAAGGTTCAGGCTGGAAAGTGGTGGTTGAGGGGAAGGAAGGTAGAGAAGCCATGGAAGTAGAGGAAAGAAGAGGGCAAAAGGGATTGAATTGGGAGGCGGCAAGTATTTTATTCGGGATTGATTGACCTCTCTTGTGTTATCTGCCCTGAATTGGATTTTGGATAGAATATTTATCTTCCTGGTTTAACTGCCTCTAACGGCTGCGAGCGGGATTCCAAATTACGTTTTACCTACAAAAGATGGGGCTGTTTTCTTTTTTTTTTTTTTTTTTTGACGGGTAAGATGGGGCTGTTTTCAGTTCAGATGGTTATGGATATTTGCTTGTTTGTTCGTTTTTTTTTGGTATATATAAAAAAGGAGAGTTGCTAATTGCTATTTTACTATTCATTAATAAACACAACTTTGAGGACATTAATCATGTAGACTATTCATTAAGTGGGTTTAGAGTAAATAATCAAAATTTTAAGGTCAATAATCATGTTTATCCTCACATGTTATGTCTTTATATTTTCCAATCATGTTTTCCAATCCTTTTTTTACTCCTACCTCTATTTTTTTTCTTCTTTTTTTTTCTATATAATATGTGTACTATTCATTATAAAGTATTTTCTATTGATATGCTGAAATCAATATATTTCTTCATATTGAGTCATCTCTCTCGCTCGCACTCAAATAAAAACCGATATATGTGTTACTATTCATTATACGTGTTTTTTTAACTAATATATTTGTTCGTATAGATGTGTCAGAACCAATCTATTTGTTTGTATTTGATTTTTTTTTTACATTTTTAGTCATATTCATAAGATCCCAAACTCGTGAAAGCTTTGGTTCTTCTGTCAAAGTCGCGCAACTTCGATCTTTTTAGGGTTTTCTGGATTTTCTCTCAACAACTAGAAAAGTAAAGGATACGTGGGAGTAGATACTCACCACAATAAAGTGTGATCGCTTGATTGATAAGAGAATAGCCAAGCTCTTCTGGAATCCTCAGAATTACTTAGGGGTGGTAATCGGTCGGTAATCGGTTAAACCGATTACCGTTTGACCGGTTACTGGTATACCGGAACTTCCAAGACCCTTGTCGTTTGCCGTTACCGGATGCAGGTCGGTAAACCGTTTACCGAAAGAGAGAGTCACGGTATTGGGACGGTTACCCGTTTGCCGACTGTGAGTCTGTGACGGGTTGGCGCCTTGGCGCCTTGGCGGTTTGCTGCTGCCGGGTAATGGACAATGACATTATCATTTTGTGGGAGCACAATAGCACATGGGCGGGTGCTGCTTGCGTCACTGACAAAGTCTCAAAGAGAATCATATGATTCTTCACTTCTTCCAAGTTTCAATGTCCATATCTCTCTGGGAACCACCAGCAAACAATAAAACAAAACTAAGAATTAAAAGAGCAAGAAAACAAAGTCGAGGTCCTCTGCTCCCCTTCTACTTTCCAAGCTCTAGCGGTGGCTTGCTGCTCCTACTAACCTGAACAAGAAGACAAATAATTCAGTTTTTATTCTTGTAATTAAACTTCTAATACTTTCCAAGCTAAAGCGTGGCCGCGTGGGGAACAGACTTCCTAGCTCTAGCGGTGGCATGCCAACCTAGATACAAATCACCCTTCATGTAATTAAACTTCTAACCTGAACTCCAACGAGGCCCTGGGCTTCTTGGTTGAGCGGGAAAGCTCCAACTGCGATGGGGACGACACGAGCAGCAGGGTTGGGTCGACGGAGAATGGGTCCGACGGCGATGGGAGCGGAGCGCTTTGGGCTGCTGGGTTGTGCTTCGCGACTCGAACGTGCGGCGGCGACGGAGAGAGCGAAGATTGGAAGCTTGGGTTTGATCCGCGGCGATTGACTTGTGAGTCTTGAGGAAGGCAGAGGCGAGAAGGAAATTTATTTACTAATAGTACTTAGTCTAATACTAATTAGAATAGGAAGGCCAAAGGCCGTAGGGATGGCAGGTTGGGCTTGGGGATTTGGATTTCTGGAGCGGCAATCTTTCCTTAATTTCGGTATCGAAATACCGGACAGCCGACGGTAAGTCCCCTTCCCGGTCCCGGTATACCGTTGCCCCCAACCCCACTGCCGCATACCGTTCTTCACGGTTAACGGTTTAACCGATAACCGCGATTACCGGTACGGTTATCGGTTAAACCGTTAACCGCCTACCCGAATCCCAGCCCTAGAATTACTTAAACAAGGATATCTTGCCCTAGCTATGGAATCCACTGATAGCTGAAACCATAAGCACTCATGCTATATGAGGAAAACTCCTCAGAGTTAATTTTCATTCAACAAAACTCTCTAATATCTCAAATTCATGTTTACAACCCTTTATATAGCCAAGGGCAAATAAAATAATCAAAAAACCAAAAAAGAACAAAAACCTACACCGAAAAGGAAGGCCAAACTCGGTCAGACCCGAAACCCGATCGGGTATTTTGCTATCCTGGCCGGGGAAAATCCCTGGACAGATTCCCAGGTCTCTCCTTCCATTTCCTCGATCTGGGATTTCACATTCTGGTCGGGTCTTTTGTGCTGTGAGAATCACATCATCCCCTCCCCGTTGAAGAAGCTTTGCCCTTAAAGCTTTCCATCCTGGCTTCCAAACGAAATTTCCTATATAGTCAGCACCAAGAAAGAAAAAATATTTTCCACAATCCTACGGAATCAAGAACTCAAACAACCGATCAAACATGGACTCCAACATTGCAGCACCCTTGACAGATCTTTTGAAGAAGAACAAGGTTTGGGAGTGGTCGGAAAGGTGCCAAGAAGCATTCGAGGCCTTGAAGACAACGGTAATGAAGGAGCCCGTGCTCGTGCTCCCCAACCCGACGTTGGCCTACGAAGTGCAGATCGATGCATCCGACTTCACGATTGGTGGTGTTTTGATGCAAGATGGGCATCCTATTGCCTTTGATAGTCGGAAGCTCAACGAGACGAAGAGGCGGTACACGGTCCAAGAGACGGAGATGACGGTCTTTTTGCATTGCTTGCGCACATGGAGGCACTACTTGTTGGGGGTTAAAGTTCGTAGTGAAGACGGACAACGTGACAACGAGCTACTTTCTCATGTAGAAGAAGCTCACCCCTAAGCAAGCGAGGTGGCAAGATTTTCTGGCCAAGTTTGACTTTGTGATGGAGTACAATCCAGACAATGTGAACTCCGTTGCAAATGCTCTTAGGCGCAAGAGTGCAGCCACAAGCATTAGCCAACCAATGTTTCCTTTGAAGGAGCGGATCATTGAAGGCCTTGGCCATCCTTTCGCCAAAATCGTGGTCGAGTACATCGATCAAGGTAAGACTCGACGGTTTTGGATGAAGGATGGGCTCATCATGACCAAGGGAAAACGTGTGTACGTGCCAAGATGGGCCAACTTGAGGAAGGATATCATGAAGGAGTGCCATGATTCCAAGTGGGCTTATCATCCCGGCATCGAGAGAACGCAAGCAAAGAGGTATACTTCTGGCCACGTATGAGAGACGACGTGGATATGTATGTGAAGACTTGTCTTGTGTGCCAACAAGACAAGATAGAGAAGAGAATCCTGGCAGGCTTGCTAGAGCGTTTGCCCACTCCTCAACGACCAAGGATATCATCTTCCCGGTAGAGATGATACCTAAAAATTTAAACAATGTCAAGAACAAAGCAATTGATCAGCAGCTAGTTTAGGTAAGAAGAGAGTTCACTCAAGTTGAGGAGAAATCCAACTGCCAACCATGTACGCCAAGGCAAGTATAGATTTTCAACTTAGGCAAAGTAACAGAAATGAAGAAGTAATAGGATATCAAGCTCCCATCCCCATTGATATGAATAACAGCTTCCACGGTTACAGATTTCATTTTCGCCAAAGGAGCAGGCGTCTGTATGAGACCAGAACCTGATGCAATGCGACTAAGCTATGACCCAAAAATGTTTCTATATATAGCAGAGATTATTATTCTTAGACTAGCTCGTTAAAACTGCAAACTAACTAGATTAAGGGGGGGAAATGTTAAAGTACCCATCATCTTCAATGAACTTGTTAATTCATCAAAGACTAATCACATCCCAAAGAAAATAGAACTTACTCCTTATCACCAAGCTTCACTTCAGTTCCTCCATACTCGGGCAAAAGAACCGTCTGTCCTTCCTTCACCGCCACAGGAATCTGATTCCCACTCTTGTCACGAAGTCCAAAACCCACAACAACTACTTTGCAAGAGTTCAGCTGAAATATCATGTGTTAGAATGATGAAACAAGCACACAGCAAGCAGAGAATCAGATAGCTCACAATCAATTAGACCAACAAGCATTGCTTCCACATCAAGGTAAGTATAGGATTCATCAATCATCGACATGGATGAAATATTCAGCATTTCCACAGCCACAAGTGCGACATTAAAGACTCCAAGTTCAAACCGGAGCCATAAAACCAAAGCCACGAGATTTGCCAGTCTATCCTCGAAAAATTTATGATACACCGAGTTCCAAGTTCCACCATAGCCATATAGTACTAGTGGTAGCCGAGGCTTCATTGAATAAAATTAAAATGCACAAATGAGTTCGTCGACTTAATAATCACGAGATCATAATTATGAAGCTTCGAATCAAGTGGACCATTTGATCTGTTAAACAAACTACAACTGAAACTTGAAAATAGACAGCTATTGTAATCAACCCACGTCTAATCCGATCAGACAAGAGACAATAGCGGCCACCGCTGAAACTATTCCGGATGTAAATCAGCTCGTCTAGCAAGGAGAATCAACAGAGATTGGGAAGGAACTACAACTGCCGAAGTTCAATCAAGAAGAAAGCAATGCAGTCGCAAACACGAATAGTCGACAAAGTGAAAGAGAAGGAAAGAATGGGGAGTTAAGCGAACGAAAGTTGGTGGTTTACCTTGGAGGTTTTCTCCGGAAGGAGGATGCCGGCGGTAGTCTTGGAAGGAGGGACAATCTTCTCGACCAAAATGCGATTGAAGGCTGGAATCAAACGCTTCGCCATTTTCCGGGAGTCGGGAACGGTAGAGGGTTACAGCTAGAGAAGAGAGGCGAGTGGAGAACTCAGGGTCAGGGGTTTAGGGAAGCAGTGGAAGCGTCGAGTGCGGGGACGGGATGGGGTCTTACCTCCTACGGCTCCTTCGTTTCATGAATTTAGAAAAATAAAAGTTTGGGCAATGTCTATTTTTTACCCAAACTTTTTTTAGATTCTTTTTATTTTAACCAAACCTATTGAATTCCTAAAAATTATCCAAACATTAACTCTCCGTAAACTTTTCTGTTAGTAATGCTGACTAAGTATGACCATAATGAGTTGACTTCCTACGTGGCGGTCAGAATACCATCATTTACTATTTTTAATAAAAAGATTATCAAAAAACAAAACAAAATCCCACCCCTCACGTGGACGAAATAAGTAACGGCAACAGAATGAATGCCCAGACTTTGATAAATTATAATACGTTTGGATAATAAATAGAATTTCTATAGGTTTGGTTAAAATAAAAGAATCTGAAAAAGGTTTGGATAAAAAATAGACATTGCCCTAAAAGTTTTAATAAAACTTGGGTTTCGTAAAACTATGGATATACGAGAGTTTTTGAATCATTAGCTTAGTTTGGCCCTACTGTAGCTTTTGCAGAAGCAACTTCTGGCTAGAGCTTTTAGATACGATGGAGGACAATTAGTGAACATAATTTTTTATTTTAAAATTAAAATGTGACATGGATTATAGGTGTCATGAAATGGTGTGTTGGAGCTGATGTGAAAGTTGAGGTGGCATCTACATCAGCAATTCGTTAATGATATTGACAACTTTTTTTAACGGTGTCGAAATTATTAACGGAAATGGCTATATTTGTCAAACTAGTTTCTAAAATGTGGCTATATATGTGTATTTTTCAAAAAGTGGCTATTATTGTCACAACGTGAATAGTTATGGCTATGGAGGTGTATTTGTCTTGATTTAATGATGGAGTTAGTTAATTAGATTTGTGTGAATAAAGTGAAAATGACATATAGTGCCCTCATTGGTACAAGACGAGAAAGATAATAGCAGGGTAGTTTGGTCATAATTGATGGACTTTAAAGTCCATGATCAAATCCTACTTACAGAGGTGGATTTTCAAGTCTGTGGGACCCACGGATTTCAAGTCTGCTAGACTCGAAGGAATTATCATTAACACTGTGAACTGCCCCTCTCTCGCTCTCTTCTGCAAATAACCGTTGGGGGAATTTTTTTGGGGGAATTCGACTAGAGAATAGGATGTCTGGTTTTTTTATTGGGTATGTATTTTTTCGCATTGATTGTAATTTTTTCATAGTGATAGTGTTTTTTTTTTTGCATTGGTATTGATTATTTGTAAGGGTATTGCTATTTTGTGAAATGGTAGTGGTAGTTTTTTTCGCATTGGTATTGGTATTTCGCATTGGTATTGATTATCCTGTAATGGTATGGATTTGCATGTATTGGTATTGGTTAAATCTGCAATGATATTGATGTTTTGTGCAATGATAGTGTTTTTTAATGGATTGGTATTGATTTATTGTTGCACTGGTATTAGTTTGGCTGAATGAAAACAAGGAAAAGATTGAGAAAAAAAGGAAGAGAATCTGGCTGAAGATTCTGGAAATGAGAGAAAGAGAGAGAGAAAATTGTAGTTAGTATTTTTTTATAACTTCCTAAAATGAAATTTATTAAAAAAGAAAATTAATAAGTATTTTTTCCGTACTCGATTTGCCTTTAGTAACCATAGTGATTACTAATCCATAGTAATCACTATAGGTGTCAATCGGGCGGGTTTGGGCGGGTTCGGGCGGGTTCGGGTCAGGTTCAGTCGGGTCGCGGGTTAATCGGGTTGCGGTTCAAGCGGATTTGGGTTGACCGGGTTGCAGGTTGATTGGGTTGCGGGCAAATCCGGTTCGAGTTGATCAGGTTGCGGATCAGTCGGGTTTCGGGTTGATCGAGTTGCGGATCAATCGGGTTCGGGTTGATCGGATTGCGGGTTAAAACAGGTCGGGTTGCGAGTTTTTTTTATAATTAGTTATTACATATATTTAAGATGTACATTCACAAGTTAAATTAATTGTTAAAATCAAATTAATTACTAAACTATAAGAACCAAAATATCTATTATAAAACATAACCATGAAGAAACCCTAAACCCTAACCCTAAATCCTATAACACCATTTTAAATCTGAAAACTAAAACTAACCTTAACCATCAACCATACATTATCCTAAATCACAACATTATGTAATTAATCCTAAAACTAACCTCAACCCTTAACCATAAGTCAATAATGAATAACCCAAACAGGCAAACACTGAACTCTAAACCATGATCCTATACGGCTATACCCTATACTATAGTTATATGTTATGAAATTGTTTGTATAAGCTATAACGTATGTTATGTGAAGAATGTAAGTTGAGTCAATTTTATATTCGGTTATTGAGAAGAACATACCTCCACTGCACCCTTTCGCTTCGTTCTCTCACCTCTGTTTGTTGATGGAAGAGAATGGAACCAAACCTAATCTGAAACCTACCTGTTCCCCTCAAATTAGGTGTTCTCGATTCACCCTATCTTATCCAAACCGGATGATTCATGTTTGTCCCTATTTTCTTAGGTTTCAACGGAAAGATGTAATAGATATGGAGTGATCTGTCAACTCTGCATTTCTGATTCATTATAGTTCATGTTCTGATTCTTTTGTTTTTGAAGCTTCCGATTGTTCTGATTCTTTTGTATTGCATGTTGTGATTCTTGGATCCTTTGGGAAAGTACGTTTCTAGTTGTGCTTGCAGATGGCTCTACATGCACATATTAGTCTCCTTTCTTTACTGAAAGCACTCCTCTCATAACATTCGTTGCTGGTCTTCACTATGCAGCCATAACCGACATCAATTCCTCATCTCAAAATGGATTCATCAAGCTTGTGACCTATGGGTTTTGGTGTTTATCTAATGGATACATCAAGCTTGTGACCTATGCTGCTGCTAGGCTTTGAACTAGGGCTGAAATCCGGTCTCGGTTTTCCGGTCAAACCGGAAACTGTCCAGTTTAAACCGACCCGGTTGTGACCGGAAACCGGATAGAATGTAACCCAATCCAGTTTACAGTCAGAGGGTAGGGGTAAAAAACCGGCCCGGTCCCGGTCCAATTTGGTCCGGTTTTAACCGGAAACCGGGTAACAGCCCAAAAGCCCACAGCCCACAACCCAAAAGCCCACAGCCCATAAAACCCTAAAAATCTATCACCCACCCACAGAGCCTCAGCGCCGCTTCCTCCTTCTTCCCATTTTCTTCTCAAATCTTCTTCCCGTTCTCTCTGCTGTCCCTTCGGCCGGCGAGACGACCGACGACGATCTCCCCTCTCTTCTTCTCGTTTTCTGCCTCTCCATAGTTTGCATGCTCCATCTCTCACTCAATCTACCCTTTTTGCGACTACAATCGCTAGATGAGCCAGTCGCCAGATGTCCCTGGCTCACCTCGTCGCCTCCCTACCACCAATCGCCCTATCGACTTCATCGATTACAGCTCTCTCCATCTCACCTCCCGGCTCCAGCCTCTCCGATTTGAGGCCGCAAACTAGACGCTCATCAACTTCGTCGATTGCAGAGGAGAAGAAGAAGGAAAACAGAGGAGAAGTAATCCGAACAAGCCACAACCGTCGATGATTCTTGGTTCGCTTAGCGGTGGCGACGACGAAGACTCTGGCGGTGGGTGATTGTGCATGCAAGAAGGGAGAACCGACGACAGATTTTTGAGATGAGGCGAAGCCGGCCTGCCGACCGCAGAATAGTCCGGCGCCAGAGGCAGATCGAGAGGAAATAGGTCGGGGAAAGAAGAGAGCGCGGAGGATATGGAAGATGAAGAATCAGAATTTACTCAATTTAGGGATTGAGTTGAGTGGGTGGGGAGAGAGCCGAGAAGGATTCCATTTTTTTGTTTTTTTCAATTTTAATTCAACGACGGCGTTTTTGAAAGGGGAATAGGGGCAAACGGTTATTGTGTTAAAACCGAATTGGACCGTATTGCATCCAATCCGGTTTGGTTAAAACCGGGTACCAATCCAATCCCGTCTTCGGTCATGGGTCTGTCCAATACGGTTTTAAAAAACCGGGTCAATCCGGTCCGGTTTAAACCGAACCGGACTGTTTCCCAGCCCTACTTTGAACCGTGTACCTTGAATGGGAAAGACCAGCACAAAAGCCAGCTAGTCCACGTAACTAATTTGGTAAAATTCGAACTTGTTGGTTACTTGGTTCAATTGAAAGACAGAGAGACCAGAAAAGTAAACATTTGTTCTTGGTGGGAAAGATGAAAAAATAATAGAGCAAGTCACGTAAACTTTATAATAGAGTTGCGGGTCTTTGACTTTTCGTTCAATCGGATTGCGGGCGGGTTGTGGATCGGTTTGGTTGAGCGGGTTACTCGGGTCGGGTTATGTTTTGACACCTATAGTAATTACCATAACCCCTTCTACATGGCTACCCCAAAAGGGGTGTGATTTCTAACACCCCCTTCTTATTGATCCATTTTCCTTTCAATCATTTGACAAGTATAATGAACTTGTTTTTTGTTTTTTTAATCTTGTAATTTGGAAAAGTTCCAATAATAATTATGAGAAAGCCCCTCTCTCTAATTTGGGAAATTTTCCAATAATAAACATGAGAAAACCCTCTCTCTCTCTCTCTCCAAAAAACAGCCCACTTTCTCCGTTCTTCTTCATCTTTCTCTTCCTCCTGCCGCCGCCATCACCACCACCATCCCTCCAGCCTCTTCCTCCATGTCGCCACCCCCTTCTTCTTCATCATCTTCCTCCCATTGCCGCCATCACCTCTCTATGTCCTCTTCCTCAACGCATCCAGTGTCGTTGCCACCATCCCCCATCGTTGCGCCGCCCTCCTCCCCACACTCCTCTCCCGGTGAGTTTTCAATTTCCAGATCTGACTTTTCGATTTCCAGTTCTGATTTTTGTACCACTACCCTGATATTTGTACCATTGCACTTAAACTCAGATCTGATATTTTTGTACCCGTGCACTGGTAGCGATACCACTTCATTGGTAACGATATCAGTGCACTGGTACAAATATCATATATGAGT